CCCTTCTCCGAGCAGCCCGGCCAGCTCAGCCCCCCCAACCCCCAATTCCTTCCCCATCCGACCATGCGCAGGTCTCCAGCGAGCAGACAGCCTCATTAAGGGCCATCCAGGTTGCAAAGAAAAAACAACCCAATTTGGCGCCATTTCAAAGCCTGCGAAGACTTTATTTTCCTTCATTTCACCCACTTTCAATGGGGAGAAAGAGATCTTGCAGTCGATGTCCTACTTCTGGAAGAAAAGAAGCAAGGCATCGGCTGGGTGCCGGGCCGGCTCGGGGTGCTGAGAGCACAGAGTGAGTCTTCTCTCCCAGAGCAAAGTAGCGGCCTTTGGAGTGGGCGGGGGTCACCGCATCCCCCGAACTCCCCCTAGGGCTGAGAACTGAGGGGGCTGGCAGAGGGCTCTGTGCAGTCCACCCGTGAGTCTCTGATGTGAGGGCTGCAGTCACTGGAGTGCTTCTAAGCACACTGGCCAGCCTGGAGCTGCGCGGGTGCCAGGGACGGGCCTGGACACCGTAGCCCCTCACAGTCTCCCCAACCCAAAGTGGGCTTCACTTCAGGGGCTCCCGGTGGTGATGAGCTGATTTATCTGGTCAGAAACGCCCAAAGGAAATGCCCTGGACCAACTGGGGCTTCCTCCCGGGCTTCCTCCGGGCCCACGGCACCCAGGCTCAGAGCAGCCACGCTCGCAGGACACTGTGTCTGTCCACGTGGCAAGATGGTGGCCACATGCTCTCACATGCGTGTGTGACGGGACATCACACAGGAGACCGCCTCTGGTCTGAGAAGGAACCAGAAGGAATGACACACAGTTCATTCAAGGTAGCCGGAAGTTACAGAAGGTTCTGGGTGGAAGGAGGAAGCAGGACCATCAAGAGCATCTCTCAGTGCAGGTACTGGACAGTGGCCTGTGACCCGTCCTGTGACCTCTGCCCCTACCTGTCGCCGAGACGTACGGGCAGGTTCTGCCTCCAGCCCATGACATTGCCATCCCTGGAAATGGGGAGTCTCGCTCCAGAGACAGAGGCCAGAGAGGGGGCGGCCGGAATCTCGGTCAGGGAGACCCAGACCCTGGCAATCCCCTCAGAGACTGTCACTGCTTTCCTGCGACAGGCCAGCTGACGAGGACAATGTGATGGCCGGGGGCTTCCAGGCACGCAGGGCCAGCCGCTCCTGGGAGGCAGAGAGAAGGAGACTCCGCAGCAGTGCCTGACGGGGCCCAGGCCCCCAACTGACGCTGGACACTGGACACAAAGTCTGAAGGGCTGAGACCCCAAACTGACGCCTGACACTGAACACAGAGGCTCAGGGATCCAGATCCAAATCTGACACTGGACATGGGCACAGGGTCAGGGACGCTTCCAGGAAGGGCAGATTCTGTGCCATCATCAGAGCATTGGCCTGTCCATGGCATTATGGGGAGTGGACAGGAGAGTGACCCCGGGGGGCTTCCCTGGGCACTTCCCTTGGCTGACATGAGCCCGGCTATTTCCCTGGAGGAAGTGAGAAGCGGGCATTGAACAGAATTGCACGGGAAGCCCCACGCTAGGAACAGGAGGGGCTGGGGGGTCATATGACCATGCCCGCCTCCGTGGGTAGAAACCCCCAGCACGTGGCCCTACTCACAGAGACCCCCAGCCCCCATTACTCTCCTGTGGGGTCTGAGGGCAGAGACGTCTCAAATGACAGAGCAGCTTTGTCCCAAAGCCTGTGGGAGCCCAGAGCCGGGGCCTGATTTCACACCCGCGTGGATGTCAGTGATCTCAACCCCCATGGGTCTCTCTGACCTTCCCCAGAACCAAGCAGGTGTGGCTGTGTCCCACATACACCGGCCGGCCCATGTCCCTGGGCTGGGACACCCAGAACTGCCCTGTGAGCCCTGACGACCATGACAAAGGGCGGGGAAGAGGCCGAGCGCACATGGCAGCCCCCGGGACAGGGGAAGGCACCATGCACAGGAACCAGCGGGTGTGTCCCCGTGATTTGAGAAGCAGGGTCAGCGGGCGCTGAAGGGAGTTTTCAAAGCAGGAAAGGGGGCCGGAGTGGATGCAGTGTAGGGCAAGGTCTGCTCTGTGGGATCCCCAGGACTTCATGTCCCATAACAGCAGCAACAACTAACCCGAATCAGAAATAATAAAAGACGGGGGGGTGGGGGTGTCAGTCACGGTCGGGGGGCAGCAGAACCTGGAAACCTGACAGCGCCCGGAGTCATCCGAGAGCCCGTCCCAGGCCCCAGGGAAGCGGCCGGCAGAGACAGCGTTGCAGAGGCTGAGGGCTGGGCGGGGTGAGCAGCACCCACTGGGCACCTGCTGTAGGTGGGAAACTCAGGCTACAGGCGGCCACAGAGCAGCCAGGAGCCAGAGAAGAGCAGTCCAGGAAGAACGGGGAGGGGGTATCCTGACTCATCAGTTCTATAAAATAATCACAGCAGTGCTAGACGAACACTAACACTCACGCCGACAGTGACCCTACCATGGGCGCTCTATTCACTCTGGTGGGAGCCATCCTCACCCTGACGCTTCACTGACACAGACGCGGCAGTAACGCCGATGGCAGCATGGATACCACACTCGCACGGAGGCTAGACTGATGTTGACATCAACGTAGCGTGGACGTGGTATCTATCTTCACAGTGACACACGGGCAGGGAGGGACACTGCACCAACACTAGCACTAGTACTGCGCCAACACTGATACAGACAGCATACAATACTAGCAGACACTGCAACAACCACTGATAGCAAAGCCAATGTGTACTCTAGTAAACTAGTACTATACTAACTAGTATAGTGCTAGATAGTAAAAACAGACACTATGCTATGCTACAACTCAAACTAAGACTATACTAAGAGTTCATACTAATACGGACACTATACTAATACTAATATTATATCAACATACTACAACAATACTAATGCTAACACAGACTCTATAGAACACTAACACAGATGCCACACTAACACAACCATGGAAACTACAGTGTTGGTGAAGTTTTCACTGCCCGCTACACTCCATGACCAGTGTCCTGGCTGATACCGTCAGGCAAATGTATGGATGATGCAAGATATTCAGCAATGCACAAAAATAGTGAGGGAGGGACCTACAAGGAAGGACCCTTTCTTCCTTTTCTAGAGACTGCGATTGTTTCTCCATAAGTACACCGAGACCCTGAGATAAACATGCAGAACTCATAACCGTTCAGTGAGATTGAGGGCCACAGATCAGCATGAAAGATCAGGGCATCTGCAGACCTCCACATTAAACAAACTGAAAAGGAAATTGCATATAAAAATTTTTTTCTTTTATGAAACAACAAAAAAAAAATTCCAGGGATGTCATATCAAGTTAAAGAAGAATTCCTCCTGATTTTACGGGCAAAAATCTCCAGAGTCTTAAGAGAAATGGAGAGGATGGGAGCCCACAGGGGGTGGCCTCAAACCCTTCACAGCACCACCTGGCACCCTCCAGCCCATTTCACTAAGTTCCCGCATGGGGACACAGTGACCGAGGGATTTACCTGGGAAGGGAAGCACCTGGGATTTGCAGGGAGGGGAGCATGTGCACGAGCCCCGGGCAGTTCTCCTAAAGCTTCCGGTCAGAACAAATGCCCTGCTGGACAAGGACCCGCGGCCTCAGGCTGCTCCTCTCTGCCCCGATTCTGCAGAGGCAGCGGGCCAGGGCCCCAGGACCAAGCGTCCTGGGAGGTGGCAGGATGAGGGGGTGCCCAGGGCTCATGGGCCAGCTAGGTGTGCCCGGCCCTCTCGGTCCTTGCAGCCAAGAATGACCTGAGGCTGGGCATCCCTGACCAAGTGAAGGGCTTCTGGGAGTCGCAGGAGAGGGACGGAGGCTACTCAAACAGTGTCCCCTAAAGCCGCAAGACCAGCAGCTGAGTCCAGCCCAATCCTACAAGAGAAACTGAGGCCCAAATGGGACAAAGGCTGGGCAGAGGTCAGGGGCTTCCTTGCTCACACACTCCCGGGTGCCACATCACGGGATCTGCTCCCGGTTCTCTGACCGATGGCCTGTCCTTTGCCCTGGCAATGGCCCTTCAGCTGCCCCATCTTGAGTCTCTTCCCCTCTGGTCCTTGATGGCAGCCAGACTCCATCTGCAGCTAATGGCCTGTCCTCCATCTGATGTTGGCGCCTGTCCCCTGCCATCCCCATTAGCCCAAGGCTTGGTCCACTTTCTCCCTGCTGGCCCTGGAACCCATCATGCTCAGGATAAGCTTGGGGACAATGTGGCGTCTACCCATGTCTGTGGCTTCTGTGCCCCTCCCCCGTCACATCCACTATCCCACCCAACAGTCACCAGGACATGCCCACGGGGCAGAGGACCAAAGGACACCCCCCGCCCCTGCTCAATGACCATCCACTGAGAGCCCCCTAAAGGTCACCACATCTAAGCTGCCAACTCCACCAGGTTCAACACTGACCAGATGCCAGAACTGGGCAGATGAAACTCAGTATAACAGAAAGGTGCAGGGGCTGGAGCGAAAGTCCAGCAGGTAGAGTGTTTGCAGGCAGATGACCCAGGTTCGATCCCCGGCATCCCGAGCACTGCCAGAGGTGATTCCTGAGTGGAGAGCCAGGAGTAACCCCTGAGCATCACCGGGTGTGACCCCCAAAATCAAATAAATAAATAAATGGAAAGGTGCAGAGGAAGAGGCTGAGACTAGGTCACCAAGACAGAGGTCCAGGGCAGTGCCCGGCCTGAGAGCGAGCAGGGAGGAGGTCCAAGTGCAGAGATCCCAGCAAAGCAGGAAACTGGGGACCAGTGGACAGCTTCTCCAAGATACTGTTGAGAGGGAGCCCCAGCCCTGCTATCCAAACTCAGGGACCCAGGAGAGCTGGGTCCCACCCGTCATGGGGGCTGTCCCGGGCTGGCTGCCCAGTGTGCAGCCCTCATTTCTCCAAAGCTGTGTCCTGAGCCCTTGTTAGTGGCTGGTGCCCTGGCAACGCTGCAAGCTCTGAGTCGGAGCACACATCCCGCCCCTGTCCCCTTACCTGGTCCCATGGGGAGACAGTGCCGCCGAAGCACATGAACAAGTAGCCCATGGCCACCAGGCAGATCCAGATCAGCACGGAGAAGAGTCGCAGTAGCTTCCTGAACACAGACTCGATGCACACGAGGATGAAGATGGCGAAGAAGATGGCCAGGGCGGTGGGGACGGTGATGAGAAACGCCACGTGGTCCTCAGCTTCCTGAGGAGAGAAGGAGGCGGCCGGGTGAGTCAGGCCAGAGAGGGGTACTCGGGGCAGTCACATGAGCATCAATATTAATCAATGTCCTAATGGAGCTTTGGGAGGTGTGGGTGAGGAGGGTGGGGCCACACCTGGCTGTGAATCGGGCTTCCTCCTGGCTCTGTGCTCAGGGAGCACTGTGTGGGGGGTGGAGAGCAGGTTGCTGCATGCAAAGCAAGCGCCCTCCCCCACGGTACTATTGCTCCGGCTGTAAGAGGCTTTAAGGGTTACTTCAGAAGGAGAACAATGTGAATTCATGAAAATTTAAGTTTCCTAGCGAACAGCCAAAAGTTCGGGAAGATAAATAACCCAGGGTTTGACAGTAAGTTAAGTAAAACCATCATGTGATCACGTTCATATTTTCCCTGATACATGGAGAACAGGAATTTATCTGGATGTAAAAGGAAGCTCACAGGATCTCAGAATGAATTAGACAATCATCTTCCCCCCCGAATCTGAGGTTCAGAAACCTCAGAAAATGAAGGTTTCCAAATGGATTTGAAATGCTTTGTCTTAGACAGTTAAAAAAAAAAAGTCTCTAAACTGATGCACTCTTATCTAAATGCATGGTAATTAATGTTTCAAGGGGCGCAGAGGTTAATCGGGAGGGGTCAGAAAGTGCTAAATTTAGAAGATGAGAGTGTGGGCACCACTCAGAGGAATGTGCCATTTTGCCCATCTGCTTTGCTGCCCTCCTGGGCATGGGTGGCGAGAAGCAAACGGGCGTGTATTCCTCGCTTCCCACTAATGCATCTGGAACCCCATCATGCCCATTTTGACTTCCTCCTTCCATGCAGTTCCAACGCCGCACAGCGGAGCACACAGTAAGAGACACTTGGTCTCCACTGCAAATTCGAACTCGGGTGTGGGTTCCTGTGTCTGCACGACAGGATGGGGGAGCTGAGGCCCCAAGTCCTCACAGCAGTGGCAACTCACTCCCCTTCACTTGGATGAGCTTCCAAGATCGGTGGGCTGACACCCTCAGTGTTTCCCTGGGGGGTTTATATGGTTACAAATTATGTAAGTCAGAAGCTACAGAGATAGCATATCAGGTAGGGCACTGGCCTTGCAGACAGCCAATCTGGGTCCGATCCCCGGCACCCCATAGGGTTCCCCTAAGCATTGCCAAGAGAATGTCTAATCACAAAGCCAGGAGGAGTAAGCCCCGAGCACTGCCAAGTGTGACCTCAAAGCAAAACGACACTATGAGGCAGAGACTTAAGAGTTAGTGCAGGGGGGCTGGAGCAATAGCACAGTGGGTAGGGTGTTTGCCTTGCACGCGGCTGACCCGGGTTCGATTCCCAGCATCCCATATGGTCCCCTGAGCATCGCCAGGAGTAATTCCTGAGTGCAGAGCCAGGAGTGTGATCCAAAAAGCAAGCAAACAAACAAACAAAAAAGAGACAGTGCAGGGGAAGGGACAGGCCTTGCAGGTAACGGGTCCCGTTTGGTTCGGATCCTGCACTGTGTGGACCCCTGAACATCACTTGGCGCAGTCTGGGAAGCCCCAAGCAGCACCATTTTCCGGAGTTCGAGCACTGAACTGCACTCCCTGAGAATGCAGAGGGCCCTGGGGAGACACACTCACAGAGATACATTAAGAAACAATCAGATCCAGTCACATCTAGGACTTCAGGGTCACGCCCCAAGGCCCTGAGAACCCACGTCTCCCTGTCCACCCTCCCAGGTCCCCTCTGCCCCGCGGGCACATCACCAGAGTCCCAGCCGGCAAGTCCCTTGGTTCCTCTGGGACTGCCACTGACAGCAGCATGTCTGTAGCACAACTCCTAGGAGCCCAGCAACTGGATGCCAGCGAGAAACACTGAGTCAGGGACAAGATTGGGGCATGGGAAGCGCCAGGGGCCGGCACACCTGGCTGCCCTCGGTCCCATCCTCCGACACACGTGCTGTCCGGGGAGGGTCCAGAAGCAGGCAGCAACAAATGTCACGTGTGCCTGCACGCGAGTGCTAGTGTGCACCTGTGTGCACGTGTGTGTGTGTGTGTGTATGTGTGTGTGTGTGCTCAGCATACACATCAGAGCAGCCTCCTTCCTGAGGATGATACGGAGAGAGCCACGGGGTTGGCCCTTCTTGGGGGAGACAGCGCAAGGCCAGGGGGCAATGGATAAGGTGCGGGGACCGCAGCCACGGGCCCTGGGGGACAGGGTCAGTGCTGGCGGCTCCCCTGGGCAGTCAGAAGCGTGGACCTTCTCAGTGTCCAGAGGCCAGGGCACGAGAGGCCATTGGGTGTCCCTCCTCTATCCAGGGCTACTTCTGCGTCCAGCAAGAGCCCAGGCGGTGCTCGGGGCCTCATCCACATTCTCCCACCTCTACCCCGGGGCTCCCCCTGCACGCACCCCCGCGCCAAGAGGTGGTGTCCAGGTCCAGTCCCTCTGCTGACCCTGTCAGCTGGCCAGAGGGCGCCAGAACAAGGCAGTCCAGGTTCCGGCCGTCCACGTGGGTGCAGGTGGGCGGCTGGGCACACACCCCCGTGGAAAGGTGTGGAGCCTGCCCTGAGTGTCCGGGGAAGCTGGGTCTGGAAGCACCATCATGCCCATTTTGACTTCCTCCTTTCATGCAGTTCCAATGTCGCACAGGCGAGCACACAGGAAGAGACCGCTCCTTCGGAGGCCCAAAAACCCACTGTGCTGGGCCCAGTATTTTTAAGACGAGACCACTGGGGGATTCTAAACAGAGGCGCTTGCATTTTACTTTCTAAAGAATTTAAAAGTCACAGAGATGGCTCATTGCTGTCACTGTCACTGTCCTCCCATTGTTCATCGATTTGCTCAAGCGGGCCCAGTAACGTCTCCATTGTGAGACTTATTACTGTGTTTGGCATATCGAATACGTCATGGGTAGCTTGCCAGGCTTTGCCGTGTGGGCGAGATACTCTCGGCAGCTTGCTGGTCTCTCCGAGAGGGGTGGAGGAATCGAACTCGGGTCAGACATGTTGGCCGCTTGCAAGGCAAACGCCCTACCTGCTGTGCTATAGCTCCAGCCCGGCTCATTGCAGAAGCTTCAAATGTATACCTTGGCACAGTATTGCCCCTGCAAAATCCCCGGGTGAAATGGGGCTGGGGTCCCTGAGCGCCATCGGGCTGGACAAGGCCAGCAATGAGGGCAATCTCCATAGCCCTTCGGTGAGCCAGGATTCCGTTGGGGAGGTCTAAGGAAACAAAGACCATTGAGGCTCGGCGTGCAGCGAGGGCACAGGATGGTGTCCATCCCATGCTAAGTCCAAACTCCTTCTCCTCGAGGATGGGAGGCTATGTCTCTTCATGCAAACCCAACTGCAAGGGGGCAGGGTCTGGAGCACAGGGTGAGGCTGGTCCCTGGCAGGCCCTCACCCCACCCCCACCCCAGGAAGCACTTCTGCTCAGAGCGACACCCCAGCCTGGGAGGGGTGCCCGGATAGCCAGGCGGCAGCAACTCCTGGGCTGGTGTGACCGTGGCCGAGCCCCTGACCATGGAAGAATGGGTTCTTTGAGAGGGAGAACAAGCCTCGATTTATCCTGCATCTGCCCTTTGAACTCGAACTCCAAACAAGCTCTAATATAGACTTCTCCCCAAAATAGAATCTTTTATGAGGGTGTCAGGGCAAGACAGTGGGGGTATTCATTACAGAGGGCGAAAGCTTATAAACTTCATTCCTGCCTGGTCTTGCGGCTTGCATCCGGGTGGGGGCCTTGGGGGTGCCCCAGGAAGGGGATAACGGACCCTCCCGGCCCTTGACTGCCAAGGGTTCTCTCCCACAGCCCCTCATGTGCCCAGGAGGGCGGGTGGGCAACACAGACTTCACAGCGGCTCTCTCCAGAATCCATAACTGGGGGATGCTCTAACGCAGAGGAGATCTCCAATGGAGGACAAGAAACCACCCGCTGGGCACGGAAGCACTGTCCATCCAACTGGACACGCAGGTCAGCCCAAACCACTTTCATGGGGAAAAGGACCAGAACAGAGATTAAGGAAAAGTCAATGAAATGTGCGCGATGGCGAGGCTGGTACCAGAATGCCAGTAAAGCAGACTCTGAGGTCAAGTCCGAATGGAAAGCTCATCCTGGGGAGCTTAGGAAGGGGAGAGTTCTCTCTCTGTCTCTGTCTCTCTGTCTCCCTCTGTCTCTCTGTCTCTGTCTCTCTCTCTGTTTCTGTCTGTCTCTCTCTGTCTGTCTCTCTCTGTCTCTCTCTGTCTCTGTCTCTCTCTGTCTCTGTCTCTCTCTGTCTCTGTCTCTCTCTGTCTGTCTCTGTGTGTGTGTGTGTCTCTCTCTCTCACACCTCTAGCTCTCTCTCCTTACTGCTGACCTTCTCCACAGCCATCCCACTTATTCCTTAGGTGGCAATTCATTTGTTCCTCACAGCATTCCCAGGTGGCAACCACTCATCTGTTTTTTTCTTCTCCCAGGATTCTGGTGCTGCCGGTGAAACTGCACAATTTTCACTTAGAAACAAAGACCACTGAATGAACACCATGGCCCTTTACTGGAAAAAGTGCTTAGTGGATCCCTGACCTGGGGCGGCTCAGAGCCCCGAGTCCATTGGTTCCAGCTAGGCAGCACTGAGGATCGGGACGAGCTGGGTAGAGAGGGCAGCCCAGTGCTCCCCACACAGGGAAGAGCACTGAGACGACAGTCCTGCACACTTTTCGCTCAGCACCTGGGCGCTGAGGCTGGGCTTATGGTGCATTACTGTACCAGCTCCACCCCTCCACCCCCCACCCACACAGCATCCTCGGCAATAACGTACTTCAGACCCGAAAATTACCCAGAAAGGCTGCACTGGACCAAAAGGAGCCAGCACTTAGATATGATGAGCGAGGGATGGGCATCCCCGTTCCTTCCCGTAAGGGATTTACAGCAGATCATGTTTCCATCCTTTTCTACAGCCTGAATCAGGCGACATTTTATTTTACTATGAAGGAAAGAAAATTTGTGATTGAAATATTCTGATGTAACAAATCAGAG